CCCCAAAACCCCAAAACCCCAAAACCCCAATTTGAATCTAACTGATTGAATAGACTCAGCTATTTTGGAGGATTAAACAATAAAAGATAGTAAACAGATCTATCCTAAAATTAATCTCTCTCTGAAAAAAGAGAACTGATGGAAAGCTCCTGAGCTTTTCAGATCATCCTCTGTGACAATCACAGTATCAGTCTGACTTGCCCATGATGTGGTTGTTACATCAACGACAATGTAGGCAGACCCAATAGGAACGTTGAAGGCTCAGAAGCATTTTAAGTAAGTAGTAACATCCTGAAGTGGTATGTTAGAGTTAGTTGCATAACTTGAAGGTAACCCATGAGTCGAAGTAACATGGGTCCTATTTCCAACATTTGTACCGATATTCATGAGAGAGTATCAAACTTTCCAAGTGATTTCCATTTCCAGTTGTTGGAGGAATACTCCATAGTACTTCCAAAGAAAGTCACTCCCATATTTAAGGAATCAGAGCATCCTCCATCGACTGCACAAGTAAACATAATCCCGAATGCTTTTGCAGTGACTCCATCAGTCATTGTAAAGGTAGAACTTCCAGTGTCGATGCAGATAGCTGTGGCTACATTGTCTTCCTTAAGTATAGAGTCAAGGATCACCTGGGTATGCACTCTCATCACCTCTCCTTCCTGAGGTTCCTTATAAATAAGATTCAACTGTTGGGTCCCAGAAGTCACTAAATTCAAAGTTCTATCTGCTAGCACAGTTCTCAGTAAGCACATAGTGATCACAAAGAAGTTAAGTATCACAAATATGGATTGAGAATCTATTATATCCCTTTCTAACTCCTCCATATAGATCAGAGGATAGTTTAGGCTCTTTTCTTTTACCTCTTCCAATTACCTTGAACTTTCTAAAAACCCGGCCTCAGCCCTTGAGCCACCCTAACTCAGCCCTTCTATTTCACAAAAATTCTTAATCATAAAAATATGTTTTTTTTACAATGGGCTGCTAACTAGATCCAGACTTCATATATCTGGCTTATTTTGGTAGTAATTAAAGTATTTTCAACTTGTTGAAATAAAGCAAGATACAAGAAGCCCCTCCTTTCTAAACTGGCTTTGGCACCTCTTTAAACGAAGAATATGCCAAAGCTAGTGAAAGAAAGGCTGAGTTCTGTTTTAAAAGTAGGATTTTCTGAAATTTCATCTGGAAATCTCTTGGAAAATCTTGCTAAAGATAGTGGAAACCTTGCTATTCCATCAGGAAATCAATTTTTCTTTAAATTAAAGTGGAGACAAGATGATTTAGCTTTTAGCTTGAGATTCGAAACCTGATGAAATTAAGAGCCTCAGTGAGGTAAAGCACTGTTCTGGCTCTTTAAAGCACTTAGCAAAGAAGAAGAGCACTTTTAGTAGTAATATGAAGAGAGTAATTCAACGAGGTTTAGAGACATGGGGTTTTGGGGTTTTGGGGTTTTGGGGTTTTGGGGTTTTGGGG